TCATTGTTGTTCTTGAGCTGGACCTGACAGAAAGAGACGTTCTGTGTCACACACAGATAACCAATCCTTGTGCAGAACTTGTTTGAAGTCTGTGGACTGAGACTGGGGAAAGCACAGGCCTATCACTGTTCCCCATGGCCTCTGAAACCTTTCCAGGAATCTGGGGGAAGTCTGGATAAACGAGGCAGGAGAAGTTTTGTTTCAGAAAATGGGAGTTTCTGTAGAAATAGGCAAAATGTCCAGACAGGAATTTACACTATTACGGGTTTTCTGTGTTGGGTGAAGTCTTATTGTCTCAGGTTCTTATTTCTCTGTACAACTTAAGGAATAGTGTGTAAACTCAGCCTATATAAATTTCAGGCCATGTTGAAGAAGATATATAGGATGTTTTTTTAATCTGTAATAATTTGATGTCTCTCCAGTATCTTCCCAGAGATTCTGGTAAAGAGCAATCAATTTGTAGCAAACCAGTGCAATCTTGTGGTCAGTCCAGAGCATTCTGTTTTCTTTGGGATTTTTGTTTTGTGACTGATTTTGTGACTGACTGAACATCATCCAGGCAGGACTGTGATTTATCTCTTTCAACACTGAATGTATATATTTTAATAAAGTGGAAAAAAAGGGGGCCCTTCCTTTAACAACATTTTCTTCCTTTAATAACATTTTATTTCGTTATCTCCCAAAGGGAAAAGAAGGTCTGCATCCCCTAGCTCTACACTACACAGCCCAGAGACAGTACTGTAAAAATTAGTTCACTTTTTGTATTTTTATCTTTTAATCACCAGAAAGGCAGCATTGGGTGTGATAGTCCTATCCTATTCCCATGCTAGGGTTAGGGGAAGTCACCTCTGAAAGATAGGTAGTGGCAGCAAGAGCGATCAAACCACTAACCCCAGTCAGCAGATGGAGTTCGAATTTTTTTTAATCTTATTTATCTATTTCAATAATGTATATGTCCACCCATCTCACAACAGTGACTCTGGGCAGTGTGCAAAGATTAAAACCTAATAATTAAATACAATAACCCAGGACGCTCTAGGTAAATGACACCTTCCAATCTTAAAAATCATATCAACAATAGGATAAGGCTAGGCTACTGGTTCAAAGGCCCATCAGGATCTCTGGGGAGATGCTGTTCCACAAGGCAGGTGCTGCCATAGAGAAGGCACAGCTCCTGGGTCCAATAAGATGACATTGTTTAATAGAAGGGACCTGGAACAGGCACTCTGTGCTTGATCTGGTAGGTCAAGCAGAAACAATGAGATAAAGGTGGTCCCACAAATAGTCTGACCCTATGCCATGTGAAGACCTAGATAGCTTCAGTCAAGAGAAGACTTGGAACCTCTAGCCTTCCACCTTGCATGCCTCAGCAATCCAACACATAATGTTTGTGGTGGATTTTTTTTTTTTTATCCGCGCTCAATCGTGACTGATTCTGCGGCGACTGCCTGGACAAGTCCCTGCAGTTTTCATGGCAAGGTGGTTCGGAAGTGGTTTGCCATTGTGTCCTTCCTAGAGCAGAGCCCAGCTGGCGAGCCCAGGAGGTGGGGTTTCCATTGCTTTGTGCCTTTTTCGGGCGTACGCAGTTTCCACAGTACTGGCAACTGGTCCCATCTCCCATGCAAGGCGCCGCCACCATTTTTCCTCCCACCGGGGTGAGAGTACCCATTTATCTACTCGCAGATGCTTTTGAGCTGCTGGGTTGACAGAAGCTGGGGAGGAGACAGAAGCTCACTCTGCCATGCAGAGCTGGCCTCGAACCGCTGAAGTGTCGATCATTTCTGGCCGGCAACTTTCAGCGTCATTAAGCTGCTGTGCCACCGTGTCTCCTTTTTTGTGGTGGAATAAATGGATGCAAAATGGCAGCTCGCAATCAATACTTTTATTTCAAGAGTTTGGGGTCTTTTTTAATTGATTTAAATGTATAAGCCTCCCAACACCAATGTTTTTATGGTTTGGTTTGGTTTTTTTGCCTGGTACACAGGCAGGTACCTAACCTTGGGCAGGTAGGCAGACAATTATTTTTCTATACCATTTTTTAATAAATTCTTTTAGCAGAGAAATAAAGATTTGCACAAAGAAAAGTTACATTTATTTCTAGCTTCTGGGGTCAACTGGATAGCTAGGTTAGTGTTAGGGGCACAGCTCTCCTATCTGGTATTGAAAAGTGAGAAGACATCTTTGCTGGCAAGGCAGATACCATGATCACAACTTATTTTAAAGTGTGTATATCAAATGCAATAAGCCTTTGCTTCCATCTGTAAGCATACATAGCAGCTAGTATTGCTGAGCAGACAAGGAGGTTACATCAAAATATATGAGAAATTTCAGCCATGTTAATCTGATTGTTGAGAAAAAAAATATTTTCCTCATAAATCCTTTTATATAACCTTTATAATATTCCTTCTCTATAAAAGCCATTTTAGTCAGCTGCCTTTACTATGCAAAAGCTTCTCTGCTCATAGAGAAGACTCTGTCTGTAAGACACAAAGATTGCCTGCAAAGTAAGCAAGCTAGCTTCATGGTCTTCATTTCCAGACAGGAATATAGGAATTGTGGTAGATACCATGTTTGTTTCAGATCAACATACATAGATCTTTTCAAGTCACTAACAATATGAAAGGGCATCTGATAAAGTTGCCCTTGCGTGAACTGCAGATGTATGATAATGTTGACTTCTGTTTCTGTGAAAACATGATTTCCCCAAACTAACATGTCTAAAGCCATCCCCCAGTTGCCCTGTAAGGATATCAAATCACTACTGGGCACTACTCAAATCTGAACACATTAGTCCTCTGCACATGACTAGGTTTCTGCCCATGACTAATGATGTAAGCAAGAAGGAAAGAAACTCCATAGGCTATAAATGGAGAAGCCCTTTTCCATGTTCTTAACACTCCATCTGATGTAGGAGCTCGTTTTGACCTTTGGTCCAAGTAAGCACTTTATCATAGGACAGTTCTCTCCAGTTGTTTTTTATTGACTTTCAAAGACATCCTGCACTATAAAGGAGAGAGAGGGAGAGAGGGAGAATGAGTTACCGTATTTTTCTGTCTATAAGATGATACTTTTTTCTAAAATCATTACACTAAAAATTGAAGGGCATCTTATGCA